GGGGTCGAAGTTGCGGGAACTGTCTGTGTCGGCTACCGAGGTACATGGGGCGGCCCGGGTCACGGACGTAACAGATTATTAGTTATCAAGAGAAATGGCAAAACTGAAAAGCAGACATGATGTCACTATGACTGATTATGAAACTTCAGATTCATGTCTCTTTCAGGCAGTTTGTATATGATATGATATAAAACCTGTAATATAAAATCAGCCTGCTAACAAACTGCTGAACGCTTTGCAAAATGAGTGACACGATAATCACTTTAACTGGCCTATACACAAGGACTTTTACAGAACCGAGGAAGCCATCTGCGGCGCCAACTCACACTGACACCAGTGGCGGTACTGTCAATGCAGGGCGCTGACCTGGCCACTGGGAGCAACTTGGGGTTTTGTGTCTTTCCCAAGGACACTTCAACATGTGGACTGGGGAGAATGGGAATCAAGTAAATGTTAAAGTGTTTTCTTTCCTGTTTCAGCTGTGTTGGGGTGGATGAAGATGACGCTCCAGATATTGACATATATCACTGTCCAAACTGTGAGAAGACCCACGGCAAATCCACATGTACGTAGCAGTCCTCACAGGGAGACTGTTGACTGTTGTCTCAGCAAACACAAAGAGAGATGTGATAATTTCACTCCCTCTCAGCTTTCAGTCTGTGAAAATGTCAAAATTAAAAGCTTTGCCAAACTTCTCCAAACAGATCAAACGCTGCTGGTTTATGTTGGAAAACAAACTTAAATTGATTGTTCAAGTATTTTCTCACGGGGTGTACTGCGTTCTAAATGTTGTGTTTTTTTCTGATCTTCAGTAAAAAAGAAAAAGAACTGGAGCAAACATGACACGGGGCAAAGCACAGATATTAAAGCTGTTCAGAACGGCAGCCAGGTTTTCATAAAAGAGCTTCGCAGCAGGACATTTCCCAGGTAAAGACATTGTATACACATCAACACGTTTGAGAGATTTTGTTCAACTCATGATTGAGCTGCACATATTGGGCAATAATGTGAGATAAAGTGGCGACAGTTACACTTTCTATACAACTGGAATAGACGTAGCAGCGCTAATTGGAATCCCATTCAGTGACTTCAAATGTGATCAAATTAAATGATTCCTCCTACTGAATAGGCCTCTTGAAATGTCATTAGGGATTCTCCAGCGTCACCCTCCTATCAGTGGTGTTCTATTATTAACAGTCCCACTAGGGGACACTGTCGTATAACTTTTGAATATCTGCTATCAGAGAGTTTTACATGTCATTGAATTTGTGAAATGAGAAGCTGGTTAAATACTTGAACAAGCCTTTATGGCAGTGCTCTCTTTCACTGTGGTTGCGTGTGGTCACCAGTGCTGATGATGTCGTGGTGAAACTGAGTGGCAGTCAGCTGACCATGGATTACCTGGAAGAGAACGGCTTCAACGAGCCAATCCTGGTTCAGAAGAAAGACGGCCTGACCATGTCCATGCCTGCTCCCACCTTCTACATCAGTGATGTGGAGAACTACGTTGGTAAGGGACTCACTGACTGTCACCGCTGCTGGCAGTACAACTACTTGTATAACTGCATGTACTGCTTCTGTGCTACTGCAACCTACAAGTAGTAGTGCTACTACTGCTGCATATCACTGTTACATCGCTACTAAAACTACACTACTACTGCTACTACTACAGTTACTACTCATGTAACTACTGCTTATTTAACTAGTACCACTGCAACTACTTTTACTGCTGTTGCAACCTTCCTTGTAACTATATGGCAGCGACTGCTACTGGTGGTGTTATCAGCCAGCAAGCACAACTTAAGCACAGCTAAATAAACAAATGAATAATAAATAAAGACAAATCGGGTATAACACACTCTAGTGTAACTATTTCTGCTATAAATATACAAATACTAATTCTTATACTACTGCTATACTACTACTAAAATTAACAACATGAGTAACTTCTTTTACAAAGCAGATCAAAGCTAAGTTGGGCAGCTTTGTCGAAATAAGAGAATGAACAACAAAAGAAAGAACAATAAAAAGATAATTATCTGTAAAATTATTAATGGCAGTATAATTTGCATGCAGTGTTTGTCGGGCATGTCTTTATTAAAAGGCCATCCAATTAAATAATACTATATATACAGTTGCAAGAAAAAGTAATGGCACTGGTTGCAGGTTCCTGGTTGTCTGCATCAATCGTTCATGAAATGTAATCTCATATTTGTGACTTTGGTGAAGATCAAATCACATTTCATGACCAGACACTGGCATTACTTTGTGTTATTTGTGACCTGCAGTGTGTTTTATTCCCCCCACCGTATATAGATCATAATAATGGAACGAAGTCGTACTAAACTGACATGCTATAATGTTTGCTTTTCAGCAGGGGGCGCTTCTGTTCTTTACTTCTCCTGTGCTCCAAGGCTCAGTGATGGGATCACTTGTTAAATAACAGTGTACTGCAACAGACATATTTTGTTAACCTGTCCCATCTCAAGAAAATATTTAGCGTGTAGGGGGCTGGTTTTCACTTCACCTTGTTTTAATTGTGTCGTCTGCATCCTCTGCCTAAGGTCCTGATGTCAGTGTGGACGTGGTTGATGTCACCAAACAGACTGACAGCAAAATGAAGCTCAAAGAATTTGTCGATTATTACTACAGCACAAACAGAAAGAAAGTATTAAATGTCATCAACCTGGAGTTCTCTGACACAAGGTACATGCTACGGTGAAGTCTGGTGTGAGAGCTGGCTTATAAAGATGCCAGTCTGGAAAACCCATAGTACTAATTTCTTTTGCATTTTTTGGGACAGGATGAACAGTATAGTGGAGAGTCCACAGATTGTGCGGCAGTTGTCTTGGGTAGAAAACTACTGGCCTGATGACGCTCTGCTTGGGAAGCCCAAAGTCACCAAATACTGTCTCATCTGTGTCAAAGACAGCTACACAGACTTCCACATCGAGTGCGGTGGTGCTTCCTTCTGGTACCACGTCCTGAAGGTCTGTCACACTGCTCATTAGACCAGTATGTTGAGCCAGAGATGGCCTTGTAACAAAATATGCCTCAAACAGTCAGTTTATACCTCACTGGTTTTTCTGTATTCTGAACTGATTCTCGGGAGACCTTCCAGAGGAAATGTGGAAGACATTACATCTCTGCTGCTGCTGATGATGATGATGCCAGAAAATCTGATTGTGTTTGTGTTTGCAGGGAGAAAAGATCTTCTTTCTCATCAAGCCCACGTCTGCCAACCTGTCTCTATACGAGCGCTGGAGGTCATCGTCCAATCACAGCGAAATGTTCTTTGCCGACCAAGTGGACAAGTGTTACAAATGCACTCTGAAACAAGGCCAGACTCTGTTCATCCCATCAGGTCAGAACTCCGTTGTAACTGATGATATCATTGTGTGTGTGTGTGTGTGTGTGCTTTTTAACTTCTAGTGAAATTATGGAGAAAATAGGCAGAATTGCTGATTTGTATGGTTTGATATCTGATTAATCATTTAAGTTATCTTTCAAGCTAAATGCTTTCTGGTTCCAGCTTCTCAAATATAAAAATATATTTGGGTGCTTAGCTGTTGCTTGGACCAAGTGCTTTGTGCCGGTATTTAATAATTAATGGATTAATTCAATAACATTTCAATTGACAGAAAATTTTTTTTTTCTAACTTTAAATCTACTAAATTCAAGAGAAATCAGTTTTAAATTTTTCAGCTTTAAAGTTTGACATGTATTTTTCTTATTTCCACTGATAATTAAAATGTAAATGAATGTGGATTAATGAAACTAAGTTGGACGATTTGGATAAAAGCCGATGTCACAGTTTATATAAGAACATTTTTTTGAAGATCATATCAGATAATCCAGTACAAATCCATATACTTCATTCTACTGATGTAAACTCAATATAAAAAGACTGAACTGCCGTACGTACGTGCTGCTCATTGATTTACAACACTGCCTGTGCTCCTGTGTGCTACAGGATACATAAATCAATACAACAAATTGACATTATAAATAAGGGTAATCATGTAAATGTAAAAAGAAATGAACTGGAAAATAATGAAATAAAATACTGTAACGTAATGCATGAGACCAGGTGGAGGAAACAATAACAAACAGTTTTCCTTAAACTTTCATTTTAATATTTAATGAATGATTGTGTTTATAATCATTGGATTCTTCCCTTGGTTTCCTCAGGTTGGATCAATGCAATACTGTCTCCAGTCGACTGTCTGGCCTTCTCTGGACACTTTGTTCACAACCTGAGTGTGGAGATGCAGATGAGGTGTGGACACCTCTCTTATGCTTTATTCTGCTTCGTCATCACTGTGTTTGGCTTTTTCTGTCTTCACTGCCGTCATCAACTGTGTCTCCTGCAGACTGTCGTGTCCAGATTTGGCAGGTTTTAGTGTGACTTGAAGGCCTTGGCTGATGTTGCTCAGTAGTTTCTAGTGGGTCCTCATTTAGGACTTGTTTTAGCTCCAAATTCCATCATTCTATTTATGAATTCTCCACATTTGGAAATATCTGCAGAATTGCATAGTTTGTTGCAGTAAACCAGTTGGTAATGCATGACGATATTTAGCTGAACCATCTTGGTTTATTCTTCTCAGAGCATATGAAATCGAGAAGCGGCTAAAGGTCAAAACTCTCACCCCCTTCCCCAACTTTGAGACGGCGTGCTGGTATGTGGGACGGCATCTCCTCGAGAGATTCAAAGGTAAACCTTTGATGTATTTATAGCTTTAACTTTTGCTTTAATATGTGGTATTTTGATGTAAACTTTCATCCTCTTTCAACTCACCATTTCTGCAGAATACAGAAAACACAAACACTGTCAAAAATGCCTTTTTCCGATCCCCACATTCAGCATACGGCTGTGTGTCTGCTGCACAGATGAGGAGCTATTATTTCAGTCATTAAATTGGTGGATCGCCGAGTTCACAGATGATTAGCTTCAAAAGATTTGGCCCAGCTAGAATCACTTGCTCCATTAAAAGCCCGTGTTTAAACTCCCCTCAGCTGGCTTGGGCCAATTGTTTATGTTTCCACCATTTTCTGTATGTGTGTTAAAGCCAGATTACTGTTGTGTGCGGTGCATATTACTTCTAACACACAAGGCCTTGCTAGCACCACATATTATGTTTTCACTTCAAGGCCAACTGTTTCAGTGCAGGAAAGAGGCGCACTTCACAGCTGCTGCTATTTTGTCTTGAGCTTATTAATAACTTCCTGTTTTGGTTGTAAATCGACTTCATTTTAAAGGGGTACTTTTTATTTTCTATTCAACGTGAACTAAAGAGGATTTACATTAAAAGTGAGCTTGGATAATTTCACATAAATCAAAGCTGTTCTTTCCCAAAGGCTAGAGCTAAAACAGGTGCGTGCAACAAGTCATCACAGGTGCAGTCTGGAGGAACAATGAGAGAAATCACTTACTTTATTTTTATTTAAAGGACCGTGTCAGTGTGTCTGCAATAGAGCCGGTCCAATATTAGAGTTTTGTTGATGTATCAACACCTGCATATTTTACCTGCATACTAAAAAGGTAACAAGAGAATTATGTGAAGAAAGAAATGTTTGAGGTCATTTAGAAACGGTGAAGCTGTTATATAATTTGTCCTACAGAGACTATTCACTTTGGAGAGATTATTCCAATTATTAGATATATTTAATTACCATCCTTTTGACAAGATCACCGCACATATGACACAGTGACACAGGCTTTCATCGGGGCAAATGTCTGACCAGTGTTGTGAGCAGCGTGTATTTAAACTTGCAGTCTACCTTAATTTTGTAGTAACTTGCTGGTAGTTAAACTACATTCATCTGCATAGTGATTCAAGTAGTTAAATTACATTTTTTGTGTAGTTAACTACTGAAACTACAATCAATTTCTGGCCATAAAAAGAAGATTTTTTTGTTTATTCACAGCAAATATTAATAATGAGAATAACACTCCTTGTAACTTTGTCCTTGTGAAAAGCGCAGATGGGATTGTTTAGTTTAGGAGAGGTCTCAGTGGAATCCAGGAAGCTGGACTGTCAGTGAAAAATATTTGGTTATAGTTTTTAATGTTTTGAATCTGAACGTGTAAAAAATATTAATAATGAGAATAACACTCCTTGTAACTTTGTCCTTGTGAAAAGCGCAGATGGGATTGTTTAGTTTAGGAGAGGTCTCAGTGGAATCCAGGAAGCTGGACTGTCAGTGAAAAATATTTGGTTATAGTTTTTAATGTTTTGAATCTGAACGTGTAAAACTAAACTTGAGATTATTAGGCATCAGGTAGTTTAAGTATTGATTATTGCTATTTATTAACACATGTTCAGAGACGTTGTTGCATGGTGCCTTAGATGTTACCTGGCTAACGGAGTAATCCTGCTTGGTGCACTATCCCCACCTGGAAGCCAGGTGTCTGATGGACACTGTAAAACCAGTCCTTGGACTTTCCCATGAATAATGGCGTATTTTGGCAATAAACTCAACTGAGTAGCAGTTTTTGCTAGCATATGACTTTTCTGTGTTATATTCTGTTATAGTTTTGTATCACATGTACATTGTCAATTAGATAATTTTTTTGCAAAGTACTGTAGTTAGAACTACAATATGTTTTCTAAGTAGCATTAGTTAAACTAATGAACTTCTCTCTAGAGCAGCTTTACTGTAGTTCAACATCTTCCAGTCTGAGGTAACTGGCAGCTTCCAAGGGAATCTCAGAGCTTGCATTGCTGTCATCTAGAGCAAACATGAGCTTTTTGGAGCAAATACGCAATAGTTTAATTTCCCCTAGGCATGGGGGAGGCATGTGCCCCTCACTTTTTAAAATCCTATTGTTGTCCCCTTGTGTTGGTTCAGATTTTGGTTGATGCTAAATTCTCTCTGAACATTCTTCTCAGCCATCAGCCACTATAGCACAGATGAGAGAAAGTCTAATATAAAAATGTCGATACACTAATTGGTTAGTACGGCACACTTATTTAATGAATAGCTTTGAGTGCTTTGCAGCTTTTTTATGCCTCTGTGCTGTTGATGGCCACAGAAATAGACATAAGGAAGGCATTTCAGGTTGTCGATACAGCCCATGATTGTGAGCACGATATCCCAGGAACGCTTTGAGGGAAGTTCTTCAAATTTGGAAAAGTGTCCACTTGGATTCAAAGGTGTACATTTTGGTGGTCAAAGTTTAAGGTCACTGTGATGTTGGCCAATTAATAAGCAAACAATGTTCATCAGATAAAATGAATAAACATTAAAAGGCCCATAACTCATCTTTCTTTGAAATGATTTATTTTCATATTAACTTACTTTACTGCATTTTAGTTGTAAATGATTTGGTTACATTTGAAAGTTTATATAACCTCTTCCATCATGAAATCACTGAAATGATGCAGTGATTCATAAGTACAAGCCATAAACATAAACTGGTCCAACTATGAACAACATTAATCGTATGAGCTTTTAGTGTGACTTTTTAAATTTATGTGATCAGAATTAAATGTTCAAATGGTAGGAGTTCACATGCATCGTACTGTGTCATTTCTTGACTATACCTGCTTAGTGTGAGAGATTGCATTTCTTTTCCTTGCTAAAGTTTGGCTTGTAAGATAACGATAGTAAATGGTCTTATACTTGTATAGCGCCTTTCTATGCTTTTACAGCACACTCAAAGCGCTTTCACACATTATTCGGCCATTCACCCATTCGCACTCCCAAGCACTCACACACCGGGAGCAACTGGGGGTTTAGTGTCTTGCTCAAGGACACCTCGACATGTTGACTGGACAAGCCGGGAATTGAACCGCTAATCCTCCGGTTAGGAAACAACCCGCTCTACCTCCTGAGCCACAGCCACCCCCAGGTCAAGGTACTTTGCATGCACTGGTTGAGATGCCAGTCTGTGAGTCTGTTGCACTTCTTTTCCTTAATTAGATTCATCAATGAAAAACCTGACTCACATACAGTATGTAGGTTGATCCAAACACTGTCAGAATATATAGTGTTTTTTTTAACAGTTTGGTTACTGATGGACAGAGGGTGTCTTCTGAGGTAAAAGGCACAGCAACTCTTCTCTGAAATTTCCCTGTTGAAGTAAATACTGTCAGCTGCGCAGCATCAGTTGCATCTGTTGACTCGTCCACAGCGACTGACATGTAATCCACAGATTTCAGCTTAGAAAGTAAAAGCTGTCTTCATATAAACATTGCAGCCTCTGTTGAATGCCGAACTTGTTTCACAAGGCCGATGACATCCTCTTTGTTCTTGTCCTCTGCAAATAGCAACCTCTGAGGCTGAGAGATGAAGCCAATGCAGAAGTGTTAGAACCTGCAGCTCCTAGAATGTCCACTGGAGGCAGGCTCCAAAAGGGAGTCAGTCCCCACAGACTCTCATGTTAAAATGCCCAACTTTACAGCAGAAATAAACATGTTTACAGCTTGGTACAAAAAATACTTTTGGTCTCTCTAGCTAATCTCCCCTTCCATGACAACTGTACAGTAGGTACATTTTTTATAACTCATTCGTTTAAATTATATTGAGACTAAAAGTTATGCATAATTAAGGGCATGACCACTCTGAGTGACCGCCATAGGTGGCTGACCGCTGGCTGTCTAGGCAGGTCCACTCACACTCTGCCTCTTTGTCCATTTTTGGATTTAGACCTAGCAAGCAGAGTGAAGTGCTACCAATATGGTGACGGCCAGACTTGAGCTTCAAAACCGTTATTCAGAAAATCAATTGGTGACATCACGGTGTTTCTATAAACAGTCAGTGGTCTCCTGCAAACACCCATCCATCCATTATCTCTACCACTTATTCCACTTATAATGGGTGAGAGGCGGGGTCCACCTTGGACAGGTCACCAGTCTATCACAGGGCTCACACGTAGACAAAACCACACACACACACAGACTCACACTGAATTCTAGGGGCAATTTAGAGTCGCCAGTCAACCTAAGCAGCATGTCGATGGATTGTGGGAGGAAGCCGGAGCACCCAGAGAGAACCCACACAGGCACAGAGAGAACATGCAAACTCCACATAGAAAGGCCCCGGGTCGATCCAGGTTCAGACCTGGAACCTTTTTGCTGCAATGTGACAGCACTAACCACCACACCGCTGTGCCGCCCTCCTCCAAACAACTTCTCCACAATTCCCAAAGTTTGCACTTTAACAAGTTCAGCATCCATGAATGACTTGCCCTTCTTGGCTAGTCCCCTAGTTATATGAAATGAAGCAACAGCAATTACAGTTGTTAGGATTGTTGATCTGGCAGAATAAGATGACTTCAAATTACAAATCTTCATTTTGCTAAGAGACATATCAAATAGCAACAGCCACACGCAGGTAAAGTGCACCTGAAATTAAGGGAAACACTCTGGCAGCTTGTGACACTCATCATGTGACACCAGGCAAAGCTGCCAGTGTGCGTAGTCCTTTCAGAAATTAAGTGTCAGCCTCTTGCACACTTGATTTATTTTCATTGTGAATTAGACAGTGGTATGCGGGCCAGCTGGCACCCTATTGCGGGCCTGATTTGGCCCGCAGGCCGTAAGGTGAGTATCAATACTGTATATCAGGCTTTAGCTACAAGGAAATACAAGTACTTGACAGTACAAGTAAGCGTGCTTTCAAAAATATATATGCTATAAATAGTTTTCATGCCTCCACACTAGCAACAGCCGTGGCTGCAGGCATTATAATTTTGGGTTGTCTGCCCATCTGTTCATATGGTCTTACTGCCCATTTTTGTGAATGTGATAGCTCAGAAATGACTTGAGAGAATTTCTTCAAGTTTGGCACAAAAGTCTGCTTGGATGAACTAATTAGATTTTAGAGGTCAAAGGTCAATGACCTCATGTCTGTCCCATTCCTGTGAAATTGACTGGTTGGTGGAGGCATGCAATGCAAAGTGGTAATTCTAGTTTATTATTTAATTGTGTTTATTGTTATTCTTCTTAAAAGGCCCCTTAAAAGATTGCTTGTTCTTGTATCTTCTTGATTTTGCTTCATTGTGCCCCCCCCCCTTAGTTTTGCATAATTGTTTGCCAATATGTAACATATACATTCTTTACAGTAAGTGAGTTAAAACATAACGGTAATATAGTCCTTTGAATATGTTTTATTTCATTGCACAACTGAAACCATGGGTCAGATCATGGCTACAGCCATTTTTGACATTTTAGCTGATGTGCAGTGACCACGAGTGAGTACGCAGGGTCATGTTAATTGTGTTTCTCGATGATTTTCACTCATCTTTTGGCTGTTTCGGGACTCAGCTCTGTTAAATTTAGGTAACAGGACAGTTATCTAAACATGCAGTCACACTGTTGACAGAGTCCTTCTCCTGTTCACCGATGAGTGCAATTACTTGACATGATGTCTCTTTATAACAACACAGACTGAAGTGTCAGCTCATTTGTTCTGATGTTTGTGAGAAGCTTATTCAGTTTCATCCTGTGAATCTCTGCTGCTCTGAAAGTTTACACTGTAACCTTTTTTTAAGTTAATGGCCTTGACTTCGCAAAGTTTAAAAGTCATGATTAATTCAATGATAACATTTGCGTTCTTCTTCTGTAGGTTTACATAAAGCAAATAAGCAGCCAGCTCCATACCTAATACATGGTGCCAAAATCATCAATGGAGCCTTCAGAGCTTGGACTAAAAAACAGGTAGAGACACAGGATATAATTCTGGTGTCAGTTGTCCATCTAATGTTATAAAAGTAATGACAGTTTGGTTTGTTTTTCTCCTGACAGGCCCTCTTGGAACATGAAGATGAACTTCCAGAGAACATGAAACCATCTCAGCTAATCAAGGATCTTGCCAAAGAGATCAGACTGTCAGAAGTATGTCACATTTATTTAAGCCTAAACATAGTACGATCAACCAATTTCTAAAAGTTCCACCAATTAGTTTTATACTTTGGTGGCCCCAAGTGGCAGTGAGACACGCCAGTTTTCACTTTATATCAAAGTGGTGACAGTTTGAGTGCAGTCTCTCTGCAAAGATATCTCTATTACTAGTGGTCAGATGAAATTTATCATTGAGAAGATTGTTCCGAGTCAACTCTGCTTTAGTGCCAACCTCAGGCTCAATTGTCATATCTGCACACAGTCCAATCGAGGATATTTCTAAGAACATTCATGATCTCCAGACGATGATCTCTGGTCATTTTGATGACCCCATCACCTTTCCTCTCCTGTCAACCATAGAACATACTTTGAATTTGCAAAGATAAGTTATGCACTTTGTTCTGTTCAGTGGGGAGAAAGTAGTGTACACAGGCATGAGGAGCATCAATTCCTTTGTTGCTGATAAAGTACAGCCCCAAAATAGAAAAGGTTAGGATGGTATGTAAAATCAGAATTAAAACTGAATATAGTGATGTGTAAATCATCTGTGTCCTGTATTACATTGAAAACAACACAGCAGCACATTATTTGATGTGACACCCGACACATTTAATCACCTGGTGTCCTCAGTCCCTGAATGTTTTTTAAGTGTTGTGAAAAGGAACGTCAACATCACACCGTGGTAAATGCTTTACTGTCCCAACTTTTTTGGAATGTGCTGCAGACATCAGAATTGAAGTGAGTGTTTATTTTGAACAAAGAATAAAATTGATGAGGTATCACAGCAAATAATGTACTGCTGTAATGTTTTCAATGTAATACAGGACACAGGTGATGTACACGTCACTATTTTCAGATTCTCAACATTATCTGATTTGGGGTTGGATGAAAACAAACACGTTTTGCTCAGGATGAAAATGTATTATTGTAATTTTATTTATATATATATACATATATACATACATATATACATACATACATACATTCCATGTGGCAGAATGGACAAAACAAAGTCCGGGCAATCAACACCTACGCCCTGCCGGTCATCAGGTACCCTGCTGGCATAATAAGCTGGCCAAAGGAGGAG